AGTACCTTCCTTCCCCTTTGATTTTTAAGCCACCCCGCACATTTGCTCTGAGATCATGCATCGTCTGGTCAATCTGTGTTGGGCGAGGGCTGGAAGTAAACAAGTGGGCCTTGTTGGGGACTCGCATAAACAGATAATTATCTCATCCTAGCTGTGTTTGCGAATGGCTGTTGGTGAGGATAATCAAAGTGACGTCGAAAAGCAGAGCGAAACGTATAAGAAAACAAAAGTCTAAACATCGAAAACGATCGAAATCATGAAACATCCATAGCCACTGCAGAAGGCGACAACTCAACGAGTCTGATCAAACATAACTGAGCGGAGGTTCGCCCGTCCCGAAGACCCAGGCCGGCGAAAAGCATCTATGCTTTGGATACATGATAATTATTGGCTGCTTAGATGTAACCCGACACACATTGTTTCAAACTCGTCAAGATCGGCCATTTGGCGGTTCCCAAACCAGAAAATAGGCCCAAGTGCCTATTTTTAGTCTTTAGTCCACTGTTTTTGGTGCTGTCGGAACCACCAGATGTTCAAACATCATTGAAAATTGCTGCCAGTACGGGTTCCTCAAACCAGAACACCAAATGCACATGATTTCGTTTATTTCAGGTGTTTCGAGGATGCCTAAAATGATCGATAATCATTGAAATTTGGCGAGCACAAGGTTGTTTGTTGGCTCCTCAGACCCGAAAACAAGTCGAACTATTTGTCTTGGCACTCTTTGGCGCTTGCGGACACGCGAAATGCTCCACACTCATTGAAAGTTGGTTTTTGGTGTTCCCCGCCAAATCTGAAGAAGCACGTCAACATACGAAAGGCACCGTTCATTGTAGGTGCTTTGAGGATACCACAGCACTGAAATTTGCGAGTTGGCGTTTCCCAAGCGTGTTGAACATCCGTTGCAGTGTCCCAAAACCGACCAGTAGAAAGCTGCGCATGTTTCTGCTAGTTCCAGGTGGGTTGAAAAACCGTTTGAAAAACCTGGCTGCTTAAGACCCGGACAACAGACCTTTGTTTTGGCTACCCCAGTATTTGTTGCCAATTGTCAAACAACATTGAGAGAGCATGCTTCAAGAGTTCGCCTAACCCGAACACTCCGCCAAAGTACCTATGTTTTGGCTACTTATTGGTGGCTTGGGAGGAACCCGAAATGGTTTGGAATTCTTGCCATTAAGCTCGATTCTGCCAAGACTATTGCTGCGACTAGTGACATGACTACTACGCCTACTGCCGACTGCTGGTCGTTTTATTGCTGCCTCAGGCCTGCCCCCTAGCAGAACCCTAGACCGACCGACATTTACGGTAATTATTCACGCTCATTTTTGCACTCGCCCTTAGGACAACCTCTTGGCGCTGGGCCTTGCGAGGCCTAGCCCGAGCCTCGTCGGGAGCATTTTTATGAATCGAAGAGCGCAGCGAAACGCGATAACTGGAAAAGCGTGAAGTTACCTGACCATTCGAAAAGCTCAGAAGACAGCGACAAGTCGATAAGCCAGAACACACAAAACGTATAGAACAGTGCGAAAAACGCTGAAAAGTCGAAAAGCACAAACAGCCCGAAAATCACCGACAAGTCCGAAACGCCCAGAAAACGGTGGACAAGTCGAACATCAGAAACAACCGAAGACACGAAAAGTGCGAAACGCACAGAACAAGTGCGAAACGTCGAAAAGCACAAACACCAGACAAAAAAGCACCCAAATCCCGAACAAGTGCAGGAAAACCCCCAAAGCAGGAAAGTCGAACACGTTTTGACTTGAACCTGAGACCGAGGCACTCCATCGCTCAGCGAGTCTTCCGAGCGCACACCCTCGCTTAGACCTTTCTCGGCCTCGAGCCACCGCGACGTCCACGGGACCAGGGCTTGCAACCTGTAGACATGAGTGCCTGCTGCTGTTTTCAAGCCAGCATTGGTTGAGAAGAGAAGCAGTACATGAGAGGGACGGAAAAAGAACAGGTTCAAAAGGGGCACAGTGAGTCTGCAAGGGTGCGGATGGGTTTGGTCATGGGCGCGGCCCTGGCAGTGCTAAGCATTTGTTCTTTGGGAGTCCTCCAATCGCCGCTACCCGGCGCTACCGAGAAAAGACAGGGAGGGAGGGAGCTGGACAAAAGAAGGAAAGCGCAAGAAAGAGCGGTGAAGCAGACAAACAGACATACTGACGGATGGACGGAGGGACATAATCTTGTGCACTTGAGTCTTGAGGCTTGAAAGCCCGCTTTGATGCAGGACGCGGTATTTGGGCCCGTTGGAGGCAGCGGGCGAAGACAGGCGCGCAGCCTTCATGTTTCCCTTCGCACCCCTTTATCACCCCAGAGCCTCGGAATCCGCCAGATTCATTTCATTTATCTTCGCGTGAGCTCTGCAAAGAGTCGGACGTTGCTTCAGGCTTGCGCTGAGCGCCAAAGATGCCAAACGTCGGCGAAGAGTCCGCAGGTCCATCAGCCCATGTTGTAGCTGCAGCCTTGACGGACTGGAGAAGGTTTCGTCGTTTTGGGCATTGTCCAGTCTCTCATTGGTTCGGGGAAGGGGAGGGCAAGCGATCCTTCTCGCTTCATGGTTGCCGGGGCATGATGGGAATGTCGTCCAGGGCGACCACGAAGACCGTGGAGCGATCAGTGGACACTAAGACGAGTTCTGTTCGTGAAGCGCCACTTGGCACAAAGCGCGGGGCAACACGACTGCAGATTCGCAAGGCCATGCTCTTCAAGCCCCAGCCCACACCGAGGAAGCTCAAACTTTTTTACGTCGTCCAGTTCGGGAACAATTCTGGTCTCATTCGGGACCTCTTAAAGCATCGAAGAATTTGGTTTCCAGGCACGGCCTGCGTGGCCGGGAGGGGCCCAGCGTCCAGAGACTGAGACTCTTCTTTCCGAAGGCCCTGGTGATCCCGGCTACTTGGGCCGGCGGCAGGAGGCGCCCTGTAAGGGTTGCAGGCCCTTAGCTGGTGTGGACCGGTCTGTCTCCTTGCAAGGCACCCTGTACCATAAAGCTCGAGACTGCAGCAGATGCTCCAGAGATACAGCTGCAGCCAAGCCGCACAATGGACAGAAAGCGTCAGTGCAGCGGTTAGGTGCAGGATCTCCATGCGGGCTCGCGTCGCATCGCAGGTTGTGGTCGCAGTACGTGGTCCGAGACTTCCTCAACGCCATGGCCGAGGCCAGCAAGAGAAAAAAGCAGAGTTTCTCCCAGACCTCGCAGACTCGCAGACCTCGCATCGCCCGAGGAACAGGAAGGTTGGGTTGTGAGCTACAACGATGCCGCTCGGCGTCTGCGGTTTTGTCCCGGGCCTTCCGGGGCCCAAAGCGTCTTTTCGCCTCTGAGGAGACGAAGATCCGGCTGGAGAGGCGCGAGACGGCTGCAGGCAGCGCAGCTTTGCGACTGCAGCTTTACGGCTTCAGATGCTTGAGATGGGATGTCAGCTTGAGCGGCACGGATATAGCCATAGCCGCTTTGCACCAGGGCCCGTGGGCATGCGAGCACACAATCACTTCGAGAAGAATGCCCTCATCAGCTCCAAGGCGGTTCTTTGCTTCCGTGCGGCTCTTTGCCGAAGTCGAATTGTCAGCTTCCTCGTTTCATGTCGATGGCTGTTCTCGAAGGCCGGCCTTCGGGAAACGATGGTGGGCTACTACACGAGCCACGGCCGCGACCCGTTCGGCGCCATCCCGCTGACCTTTGTGGCCACTTTCCAAGCAATACGGGACACCAGCCCAGCCGCAGCATCAACTCGGCCACATAATATATATATATATACACACACACACACACACATATATATATATATATACACATATATATATATATGTAGATGCAAATCTCGGTGGCAGCCTGTCCTCCCCGGCCATCCCATGTTCCGCTTCAGGTGCGCACGGGATCTTGCGACCCTGAGTTTGCACGATGGCTCGAGAGCTTTGAGGACCGGGAGCCTTGCTGCTGACCGAAGCACTTGGGTTTAGGGTTTAGGGCTTGGAACACCAGGGCCAAAGGAAGCTGAAGCTCTCGGTGTGCTTGCAAACGCGTTTCAGGAGCTCAGAGCCAAGAAGGAAAGTGTCTGGCTGGTGAAGCCGGGGGACAAGGCCGCCCGGCCCGGCATTTTCAGAACCCAGACATGAAACTAGAATGGGTGACTTCTTTGAACTGCTTCTCCGTGCGAAGATTTGAAGCGGGCTTCCTGCCTTTCGCGGCCTTGCGAATCGCGAACCGTTGCTCCTCACCGTTTCTGTCGTATCTTTGCAAGATTTCTGGTTTCATGCGCTTTTGGCCACAGCTGCAAGGCAAATCAGGGAAAGGGCATCGTCATCTGCGACAGCGTGGAGGAGGTCAGGGAGGCCATTGATAGCAACTCGTCTCAAAAGGCGTGAGGCTACATAGTTGGCCGTAATGGCGTAAGATTAGAGAGCTGTTTTGCGGTGCCTGAGGCAAGAGCCGGTCCTGGGTAATCCAGAAGTACATCGAGAAGCCATTCTTGATCCATAAGCGGCTCCCTGGATGGAGGGGATTAGCAAAGATCACGCGCTGGAGAGCATGCGCACCGTTTGATTCAGGAAATTCGACATCCGATCATATTGCCTCCTGGCCCAGGATCCCGCAGGCGGGCCTCGATACATCCATGCAAAGGCACAGCAACTTGTGCCTGAGGCGTGTTGCATGGCTACTTCTACAGACAGGTGGGCTTCGAGTAGCTTATCGGAGTTGAAGAGAAGTACAGATCTTCGCATGGCATAGCTGTCAGGCATACCTCCGCACCACCAGCAGCAACTTCACCTTGGCAACCAAAGACCGCTTCGTCCACCTGAACAACGATGCAGTTCAGCGGCTTGGTTTGTGTCACTTTCAGCACCAGACCGATCCGGACCGGGCCCACCTTTCGTTGGCAGGAAGCATGGCGACAGCTATGGCAAGTATGAGGCTGCCAACAAGATGTCACTGTCGGAATCGCGGCTGCGGGACGAGCATAAGCCACTGTAGTTGACTATAGTACTGTGGTTGCATTCCCCACTGTCGCAAGGTGTACGGTTCCAAGTCTGGTAGTGCACTCGGGGTGTTCTATATTCAATCTAGACCGCGTGCTTGACAGTGCCCACAGCTTTGGCAAGTCGAATGAGTGTGGTAAGGAGTTCCAACTCTACCTCGACGCTCATCATGGGCGTGATTGCTTGAGTATTCACAGCGGTCTCCTTCCGCAGATGAAGGCTGGTGGCAGGGCAGAGGTACTCACGTTGCGCCAAGGAAGGCCAAGGAGGGATCTGCCTGACTGATGTAGAGGTTTTGCATTGAAGGGCTGATGGACACCGGAGGCTCTGATGGCGGACACGCTTCGTGCTGCTGGCAACAAGATCAATCCGCACAGCATCCAGCACTGCTTCGAGGCCCGACCGACACCTACACAGAGAAGCGTCAGGCTCTCTCCAACTCGACTCGTCACTTTCTCGTATTTTCTCGTCCTCCGGGACCAGGATGCGCTAAGCTCGAAAATCAACGAGTTGTTTTTCGGGGACTGAGTCCCTCGGGCTCGTGGAGAGTCGCGCGTATGTCCACGGACTCCAGCACGTCAGGGGCGACCTTTGCTCCCAAAGCCCCTGAACCCCAAACCCTAAAACCCTAAGATCAGTCACTAGAAAAAGTCTCGGAGCGGCAGATCCATCTGAAGGATATCTCTTTTGGAGCCGCGTGCTCTGCTTTTGCGGGGTCCGTGTCCAAAGGTCTTTGGCTTTGACTTCATGGTGGACGAAAACTTTCGCGTTTGGCTCATCGAGGCACTGGCTGAGGGTCTTGCAGGAATGTCACTCCTCGGGTCTGGGGGGGGGCGGCTTAACTTTGGAGTCTATGTCAATCTAAGTTTCCTTTCTTCGTACATGACATGCTCCGTCACGCAAGATGGGGGTAATGCTGCTGACGCAGGAACAACCGCACGCCTGCAGTCAGATGTTGCGGGCGTGGATTAGAGGGGCAGGGGTATGTGACTAGAGTACAACTGTCAGCGAGGTAAGCAAAACAGCGATACTCTTGTTTTTTAATCGAAGCTGTTGCTGCTCGTGTCCCTCCAGCTTGTTTTATCCTGCTCCTGGCTGCAGTCGACTGAAAACACGGTTTGCATCTTCGTCTGCGAAAACAACCGCTACTACAACGGCGGCAACAGCAACGACGACGACTGCTACTGCTTCTGCTACTGTTACTGCTACTGCTACTGCTACTCCTACTACTACTACTACTACTACTACTACTACGACGACGACGACTACAAAAGCGACTACGACTACGACTACGACTACGACTACGACTACGACTACGACTACGACTA